AGCTATTAACTCCTGGATAAATAAATATATATAAACTCTAGTCTTTTTAAAACCAGTGTATATAGAAAACAGGAACAATCCAACCCAAAAGAACTGAAATATCCCAGCAGTGGAAAAGCATAGCATCAAAATATTCAGGTTTACCATTGCTGCATAATATCTGGAAATCATGTGGCTATAATTATTTTGTAATAAACAAAAATAAATGGCAGGTGTGGGGTGAAGATGTTAGACACACAATGAGGGGCAGGTCTCAACTGTTGCCACAAATGGAGAAAAAATGCCTTAAATGCAAGAAGATGACTCAGATTGGACTGAAATCTTTCATTTCTGACAGTAAACTGACATCCTGACCTTAGGATAATTACTCAGGGTTGTCATGGAAATCTTTAAAAATAAAAAATAAAAAAGGCTAATAGCCCTAACATACGTGACTATGTAACATAGCTTTAGAGATACTCTCTGAGAGGAAAACATTAGTTAATGCTATCCTTTTTGATAGCATAAACACCATCCTAAATGAGTGTGGACCACCAGAGAAACCAGAGTATCCCGAGTGCTCCTCTTTGTTTTTTTGTGTTTTTATTGTGACGTAATGTCTGGTATTATTACCCAGTTTTTATTTTTAAAGCCCAACAAGGGACTGTTTTTCTAATTGATCAATTAAAAGAAGAGGAGCCCTGTACTCAGCTTTCATTTCCTTACTTTTCATGACTTTCTTCTAATAAAACAAATTCTCAAAGGGCTAAATAACTCTTCTTTTATTTATACTTTTTTTTCTCTAAAACATAATAGCATTAAAGTCAGTGTCACTGGCTGACAGAAAAGCCTGTTATATAAAAGAAAGAATATATATAAAAGGCCCTTCCCTTCAGGTCAGGTCCGGCCATGCTTGAATGGAGCGACTGTGAAAAGTCAACATATTTTCTGCTCCACTCCATGTGATGTGGTGCAGGGGAAAGGCATGCTCAAAGGAATGCCAACGCAGTGAGGGTTTCCCCTTTTGCATCGCCGCTGTGGCTCTCTGTGGTTTTGGAGAAAAGCAAACCCAGTGACGCAGAGGTCCATCTGTGGGGTTCAGGGACACGCGTTACACGGCTCCTCGGGGGCCAACTACAGGTACAAGCTGCTGATATTTGCTTAGATCACAGAAAAAAGGAGGCATAACAGGGGAGACTCAAAGAGGAAACATGACCTCTTCCTGATGGATGGATGGATGGATGGATGGATGGATGGATGGATGGATGGATGGATGGATGGATGGATGGATGGATGGATGGATGGATGGATGGATGGATGGATGGATGGATGGATGGATGGATGGATGGATGGAAGGACGGACGGACGGACGGACGGATGGATGCTACAAACATCCGGTTCTCTTTAACTTACAAGAAAAATCATGAAAGTGGAAAAGCTAACTAAGCTCTTAAAAACTTTCCCAAAAAAAAATCTAAAAAAGGTAAATCTACGAATGATCAGACATGAAAACAAAACACCTCAGGATATTTATTTACCGTTTTCCTCATAAAACCTGCTGATAAACACATGGATTATCTCCAGACCACACACTCACCTCCACACACTCTTTTTTTTCTTTCCCTAGCCAAGTGCACTCTGGGAACAACACCACCACGTTTTGCTTTGCACCAAAGATGACAGCAAAAATAAAATCCAGACACATCCACCGGCTTCCGGTCTGCCACCCACACAGCAAACACACACAATAATACCCCCACTAAAGCCCCCCCCCCCCTCCGTCTCCTTTGTGTAAGGCAGGCGAGGCAGAGAGGCTATTTTTAAAACTTTATCTCTCCATCTGGCGGCTCGATGCTTTCCTCACTTCTGAGCTGATCCGACTGTAAACACCACAGAGGAGATCTCTAACGGCAGAGGCTGGCGGGTCGTGAATATTTTCGTGTCATTAGCGTGAACTGATCAATAATTCATATTCTGAGCTGAATTAAGATGATAGGATGCTGCAGCAGCTTGTAGGTTTCTTTTCCTCCTCCCGATGACTCAGTGGAAGCACAGGGAGAATGACAAGCTTCTGCTGGGTCAAATTTCCCCCTCAGGTTACAGTATGAAATATTCACGCCCTACCTTTTGCATAATTTACCCTGTCAATATACTAAGGAGATGAAAAATAGGTAGAGGAATTGAGTTTAGGTGAACCTTAAGCAAAGCAACACTTGAAATACGCTAATAGGACAAAGTGTTTCATTAAAAAGCATTTATCCATCAGTATTCGTTCATTCGGGTATTTCCCGTTCTGAACGTTTTGCTTTTTTTAACGGTGCATCTCGCCTTTGTTTTAAGCTCCCAGGAGGATGTTCCTGTTTCTTTTCCCTCTTCAGTGCCAGCATAATAGTCTTCTCCGTCATGTGATCGCTGCAGAAATTCCAGAGCGGCTACTGAAGCCCCGCACACATGGCGGCCCTGTCCGACAGATGTTTTTCGTTTGTGCTGCAGCGGCCTCTCCGGATCAGAGGCACAGAGCCAGGGAGGTGATTCATGATGCGAGCCTTCTCCTTGTTAAAAGTCAGCAGACTCAAGAGTGTGGCTCCATGTTGGAGATAAACACAGCCCTTCACTCTGCTCTTTGGGTAGAGCTTCTTCTAAAAATACGATAAAACAAACTAAAGTCTGAGGTTTTAGACGGCAGTGAGAAGCAGTGGAACCCTGTAGACCTTTTCCCACATTTCCTCATGTTCCCTTCTCTCTGCTTTATTGGGATTATAGGCGACAGATCAACACAAAGCAGTGCATAATGTTTTCACAAACTAAACTCTGAAAAGTGTGGCTTGTATTTTGCATTCAGGCCCCTTAGAACCAGCTGTTCTCTGTCGTTACATCACTAAACCTCTAAAACATCCATCTGGTCTCATGTCCTATGCAGCCTGTAGCAGTTTTCTCTTCCATGACTTCCTTTAATTTTACTCCATCCACTTTCCTTCTACTTGGCTCAGCATCCCTGTTCCTGCTGATAGCAATTATGTCTACACCACAATGCTGCCACCACCATGCAATACCATGGGGATAATCACTTTTAGTGTTGCATTTTGACCAGAACAGCCTATTTCACTCATTAGGTGCAAACTTGTTTTTTTTTCTTTAATTTATGGCTTACAGTATAAACACCTGATTTGTGGAGGATCTTGTTGCTTAGATTCTCCCATCAGTCATGGATCTGTGCAGCTCTTCTAAGGTAACTCTGAGCCTCACATCGTTTTAGGCTGCCAACTATGCCTTTGTAAGTTAGCAGTGTCTTATACACTTAACACTGTCAGCTGCTGCACTAAACAGAGCTTTGTGAGACTAAAGCCAGGGATATTGTTTTATAACCTAACCAACTCCTTCCCCTGACCTGTCAGCTGTATTATCTGCTCTCAATGATGATGTTTGTTCAGGAAGAGTCCAGTTGTGTGTTCTCTGAAGGCTGCACTGGATTTCATTTAGGTGAATTAGGAGGAGACATATATGGATGTTAGAGTAAAGGGGGGATGAATACACATGCAAACTGCATTTTTCATATATTTTGGTTTATTTGGTCTACGCTGGCATAAATTCAGCAACATCCAAGGTGCTTGAAGTGGGTTAGTGAGCTGGTGACGTGAAAACCTCAGCAATTATATATTTTTTAAGTAGACTAAGGCTGTAACTTGTGATTATTTTTCAAAGCGATTAATCTGTAGATTATTTTTTTCAATGAATCGATTATTATTCGGATAGCAAAAGATTCCTTAAAGAAGATTTTTTACGAAATTAAACCAGGTGATACTAAAACTTTTCCACTTCAGGTGTTCCCAATGGAGCTTTTTTTTCCAACTTAAATGCAAAATGTTTATATATTTTTTACAGTCTTGGTATAATTATAGCTCTAAATGAGCCGCTCTCTCAGCTAAAGTCTCTAGAAGTCTCTAGACTCCAGTTAATGATTAATCAATTTCTAAATTAGTTGACAATTATTTCAATAATCAATTAATCTGATTGTTTCAGTCCTAAAGTAGACCAACACATAACAAAGCCACAAACCAAACTGATCTGCTAATATTTTGTGCCAAATGTTTGAAGTGCTGCTGAAGTTTTAAACTTAATGACACCAGACAGAGCAAAATGTTTAAATACTTCCAGCTCATCATCTCCCTATTAAGTTAGTCTGATGTAATTTGTGTTTCAAAGCATTGCAAATGGAAATATTGGTGTCACATATAAAGCTCATGCACCCTTACATGGCCTATTACTCTAAGTACTGCAGCTCTGATGTAATTTGGGCATGCAGTTGTTCAAAGCAGGGGAAATTAGGTCACATTTTGCCATTAGAGGACTACAGTGAAGGTGTGTGCTGCTCTGCTGCTCCAATGCTGCAAAACAAAAAGAAGCGCACATGCAAACACATCCTGAGGCTTTATTAAAACCTAAATATAAAATGCACTCAAGCCTGCGTGTATGTAAGAAGGGAAGGGATCCACATCTGAGTGCCTGTGACTAAAATAGGTCTTTCTGTCACACAAACACACACACACACTGGGCTACAAGCCTGGCAGCTCACTCCAAAGCCCTGAGTTATGTAATCCTGAACACAGAGAGCTGCAGGCCTTGAGTGCACATCCTTCCATTTCCCTCCTCACTCCTCCAACAAAAGCCATCCTCATCCCTCTATCATATTAACACTCCACGTATCTGCTGAGGCAGGGCTGCAAGATTGACTCAGATAAAAGAGATTAGGTAAAGAGGTTAAAATATGGCTGAATGCATTTGAAATATTCACCTTTTTTATAGGTGCACCTGCTTTTTTGTTGTTTTAATGGTTAAAAATGCGTTTTTAGAGCAACAGGTGCAGTTATTCTCTTTCTCTGCCTGCTGTCTGTGAAGCATCTGTGAAACACAAGCATTTAAAGTGGACTGCATGCATCCTGTGTGTTGATTTATGAGCGCAGGGATTTTTTTATTTTTTTTTTTTACGGTAAATAACTCGCATTGTTGTTGCGCTTTCTTACCTCCTCCAGCACGTTCACCGTGTTCCTGCAGCTCTGCAAGCGGGTGGTGAAGCTGGACGTTGTCGGGGAATTGTAATCCTCTGTTGTCTCCGAGAGAAACTCGGACACCGATATTTGATCCGGCATCCTTTAATTTGGCGGAGGGAGGAGGGGAAGGGGGGATAAATACCCACAAAAGGGTCGGAGATGACGGCTCAGAAATGAAAAACCATGTAAGATTTGAAGGAGAAATGAGAGACGAGTCGATGTTGACTGGTTGGAACGGTTAGAAAGCCCCGCGTCGCTTCTGTTCCCAGTGTTAAAGTATCAGGGCTGATGATCTGGACGGGTCTTCTTCTTCTTCTCCTTCTCAAATGACTTCACTGTCCTCCAAAGGCCACAGGAGGAGGATTTTTCAACACAATTCCAGACAAGCTAGCTTTCCCCCCCACCCCTCTTTTCTTTTCTTTTTTTCCTTCAGAGGGCGTCTAAAAAGAGACGCATTTATAAATAGTGTTGTGGCTAAACGTTGGAAAGAAAGCCGTAAAGAATAGCGGATGCCTTCATTATGCGCTACAGATGTGCAATAAGCCGTTATGTCGTCCCGTTATTACCGGCCTGTGTGTAGTGGTTATCATAGTCCAGGGTGAGCCGGGGTTTGGTCCTCTCTTCTTCTGCTGTAGTTTCTGTTTTTTTTTCCTCTCTCTCTCTCTTCGAAACAGCTAAACTGAGCCTAAGACACATTCACTACCACTCTCCCCTGCTGCTCGGCCGCGTTCAGAGCTGCGAGAGGAGGCAGAGTCGACATAGCGGGATGAGAGAGGAGAACTTCCGGTCAAGAGTTACAAAATAAAAGTCGTGACAGAGAAATTTATACTATTGAGTACAAGCTACAGGGGCGGTTCTAGACTAAATTTAGCCGAGGGGACCGTTTTCTTTCTTTTTTTTTTCAAGGACAGAACAAATTAATATGGAAGAGGATTAGGGCATATGAAAAAACAAAAAAATGTGATTTTTAGATTTTATTTCAGTATTATATCAGAAAAAAGTCAGAATTCTGACTTTGATCTCAGAATTTTGGATCTTAATGTAGATGGGCACCATGAAGGAAGAGATATGGGAACACTCACCTTCACTGACAAAGATGTGAGTTGTTTGGGAGGGTCAGTAACAAATTTTTACGCGGCCAAGGGGTCCCCAATGATGTTATTTCATTAATGGAAGAGCAGAAGGTTGTTAAAACAAGAGAGATAATCTCTAAAACAGACATGGCTACTGCTTGATGTTAACATGTTTGTTAGCTGTCAGAATTCTGAGATTGAAGTCAGAATTCTGAGAAAAAGTCAGAATTCTGAGAAAAAAAGTCAGAATTCTGAGATTTAAGTCAGAATTCTGAGAAAAAAGTAGGAATTCTTAGATTATAGTCAGAATTCTGAGAAAAAATTCAGAATTCTGAGAAAAAAGTTAGAATGCTGAGAAACAAGTTAGAATTCCGAGAAAAAAAAGTCATGGCTACTGCTTGATGTTAACATGTTTGTTAGCTGGCAGAATTCTGAGATTGAAGTCAGAATTCTGAGAAAAAGTCAGAATTCTGAGAAAAAAAGTCAGAATTCTGAGAAAAAAAGTCAGAATTCTGAGATTTAAGTCAGAATTCTGAGAAAAAAGTAGGAATTCTTAGATTATAGTCAGAATTCTGAGAAAAAATTCAGAATTCTGAGAAAAAAGTTAGAATTCCGAGAAAAAAAAGTCATGGCTACTGCTTGATGTTAACATGTTTGTTAGCTGGCAGAATTCTGAGATTAAAGTCAGAATTCTGAGAAAAAAGTAAGAATTCTTAAAACCAGAATTCTGAGAAAAAATTAAAAATTCTGAGATTAACGTCAGAATTCCAAGAAAAAAATTAAGAATTCTTAGATTAAAGTCAGAATTCTGAGGGATGAAGAATTAAGAATTCTGAGATTAAAGTCAGAAATCTGAAAAAAAAGTCAGAATTCTGACTTTTTTCCCATATTAAACTAAAATAATATTTGAAAAACAGTTAACTTTTTTTTTTTTTAGTGGACCTATTTCTATTCCGTATATTAATGACAAACACACACACACACATACACACACACAAAAAGTAATAATAAAAACAGGGCACGAGTGCATAATTTACTATATACAGTGAGCCACAACACCAAGGTTCCAGACTCCCCATCTAACAGATAAAATATATCCATCTGAATAGACCTGAAACCTAGAGCTGATTGTAATTTACAAATAAAAAAAAATGTTAATGTAAACTGTAAAAGGACAAATATTAAATTGGTCCAAGAGAAAATCAGTTACATTGTCTTCTGTCAGCTACTGCCATCTTCAGAATTTTATTTAATATTTCGCTGCAAAAACGAGTCTAGATTAATAATATTTCTTAAAATAAGGGCCATTAAATTGAGAAGATAAATGTGATCTGACAAAGGAAGAGATATTTTTGCCCTTATAGTATGGAGTTTTATTAGTCTTATTTTAAATATCCATCATCTTGTTTCATTGGCAAATTTTCTTACCTAGAAAAAGTTTATTTATTTCTTTTTTATTTTTTGCAGTGTATGTTTTCAGTACAGGGGCCAGGGCTTGCTCTGCAGATGTTCTGGTCCCAATTGGCTCCTGTCTAGAACCGCCCATATTTGGGATTGTCTTTGTTTTGTCATTTGATCAATTCTGAACTTTTTTTTCTACTTAAATTTGACTTCAAAAAGCAGCTGCATACTGTCCAATCAATCTGACTAGCCTAGACTACATTAGACCAGACTAGACTAGACTAGAATAGAATAGAATAGAATAGAATAGAATAGAATAGAATAGAATAGAATAGAATAGAATAGAATAGAATAGAATCGAAAAGAATAGAATAGAATAGAATAGAATAGAATAGAATAGAATAGAATAGAATAGAATAGAATAGAATAGAATAGAACTCTATTTTCCAGTTCAAGGGCCCCATAGACCATTAGACTACATTCAATTTATAATGTAGTGTAGCTTTACATCTCTAATTAAAAAAAAACCTCTAATTGTGCTGATAAACTCTAATGATTTGTGGCCAATTTCTTTTTTAAACACAAACACAGTAATCATTTGCAATAAAATGGTATAAGTGGATTGAGAATAGGGTAAACAGAAACTTAACTAATTAAAAATATATAATTTGTGTCTGAGATTTGCAAATTCAATTGTCATCAATTTAAATTTGTCATAGCCATTCTGGGTTAATGTTTATAACTCCTTCTACTTTACCTATTTATTGTATAAAATATATCATTGTGCATCCTCTCACTAAATTATAGTGGTAATAGATGAAGATGTTACCTTAGAAGGTTTAACTGGAGTATTCACATGTTTAAGTTTTCGCACTTTTAAGTATTAAGTCTTTTATTTATTCGGTTTTTAAGCTGTTTTCTTCATTAAATGTGACATGATTATAAAATATATATTAGTCTCATATAAAGATAATAAGAGTGAATACAAAATGCAGTTTATAATTTGGGATTTTAAGTATTATCAGGGAAAAATATCCAATAAAACGTGGCGCAGTTCAGCAATCACTCCCACTCTTCTGTGCAGAAATCATTCAGCCAGATTGGAGAGTTTTCTGGCCTGTAGAATCTATTTAAAAGCACACAAACTTTGACTAGGCCATTCCAAATTCTTAACATTTAACCATTCAGGGGTGAAGTTGCTGGACAAATAAATTATGATAGATGATTATTCTCCTTCAGGATTATTGCAATTGAGGGTTTTTCCTGAAAGAATTAATTACTTAACAGATTAGAGAAACAGACACACAAACAATCACTTCTAACCTTTAAGGTTAAACCGGGGGTTAGATGTGCTTTATTTGCCATCTGGGTCCTTTTTTTGTCCCTTCCTGGGTGAGATATAACTTTGCTATGGACTAATTTTGGTCAACTTAAAGACCTCTCCTGATAGATAAATATAACATTTAGTTTCTCCACTTTTATTGTCTGTTCATACTGATTATCTAAAATCATTATTTGATTGAGGCATGGTAGATAAGACACCATTTGCATCGGGTTATCTTTGATTTGGAATAATATTCAAATCATGATGTGGAATATGTAAATATGAGTAAATAAAAGAGAAAACCTGTTCAATGGGAAAATGCTTTTCAACTTCATGCTATGGCTGTTGGAATGTGTGATTAAAACCATGCCTTTAGTGTGAAAAGCCATGCTTGTTTTTTTTGGAGCGTTGGCGTCATCTTTACGCATCTTTATCCCACCCACTGTGCGCATGCGCGCTCCGCTTCGCTCCCTCTCCGCAGGATGATTCGCACCAGAAAATAATAATGAAAGGAGAGCAGAGATTTGGACATTTATCCTGTTGGAGCAGGACATGGCGGGTTAAGGGAACAACTAACGACTGACTAATATGTAATGACAGCAGGTGACAACTTAAAAACAAAGAATATTTAAATGGCTGCTTTAATGTTTAACCACCTCCATCATTAAAAAGCATTAAACATTTTATTTCAACAATTTATCATAAAAACAGCATTAAAATTGCTTAGTTTAGATTATATATTAAAGATAAGATAGATAATAAATGTTGCTCTCTTAGTAACTCAGTAGATTACATCGATTATATTTCATTTAACGTCTCCATGTAGTAATCCTCCAAATGTTTCTATTCTGATTTCTACCCTTTCTATACAGCAGAGATATTTATGAATTTATCTGTGTGATCTTGGAGTAATCTGAAACACATTTATAAATGTTCAACTGATTAAAATCTAGGTGGCTGAATTTAACATCATGTCCCTATCAGGGTTTTCAGTCAGGGGCGGAGCTAGATAGGGGCCAGGGGTGGCCATGGCCACCCATAGCTAATCATTGGCCACGCCTACCATCTAATTCCCTCTAATACAGACGGTGGCAGCAGTAATACTATCAAGAGGAATGTTTTAATATTTTAATTTTTATATATTAATAGTTGACAACTAAAACGCTGTGGTTAATTATGCACATCTAAATACTAACATTATAGTTTATATGTAAAAAATGTATGCTCTTTTTTAAAACCCTAATTTTGTGTTATGTGGGGTAAAGAGAAAATTATGTGTCTCTGTAAGTCATCAAGGAGTTTTCAGTGAAGTTATAGATAATTAAAATGGGAAAGATGTTTGCCCCAGACATTTTTTTCCACTATAGCTTTTATTTAGACAGCATGGATGTTTAAATATATGCATGTATTTGTAATCAAAAGGAAAATAGTTGGAACGTATAGTTTGTCTTTATTCAGAAAATATCCATATTTGTTGTGCTCGTTCCTGTTGGAACAGTGTAGATGGACCCTTAGGCTCTGGCACCTGTCCGCTTTTGGCCACTCCTCCCATTTGCTCATGATTCACCAACTATGGAACAAGCAGTTCTCCTGTAAACCAGAGGGTGGCAGCAGTGATACCATTGTTTAGAATTAAGAGAGAAAAACCAGACTTAAACAGAGTTGGACTCAAGTTTCAGCTCTCAAAGACCTAAAACAGAGCGATAGAGTTGATTCCTTCTTACTATCATACTCCTCATGGCCATGAAGGGGACCAAGACATCCCACCTGGTCAGGCAGGCCAGTAATGCCCCTAATGATTACCCCCGTTCAGAGGCATAGACCTGTATCGGGCATTGCAGGCTAACAGAGACCTCAAACGACTCCCCATTACTTAGGGGTGGACCTGTCCTTCTGATTGAATTTGCATGTTTTCTAAGTCACAACAAGGATTTGTTTGGGCTACTCTATAAAGCTTGGAACTCAACACTAATTCTGACATTTTGAATCGAAAAAGCTTCCTGGATGAGCAGCGAAATGTCTTGTAAAACAAAGTCTGGTGTTTTTGTTTTTTTTTTCTCACTTTTTTGGAATGACTATGAGACGGTGCAGTGGGTAGCTGTGCTGCCTTGCAGCAAGAAGGTTTTTGGTTCGATTCCCAGCATGGGATTTTCTGCGTGGAGTTTGCATGTTCTCCCTGAGCATGTGTGGGTTCTCTCCGGGTGCTCCAGCTTCCTCCCACAGTCCAGATACATGACTGTTAGGTTAATTGGCTTCTCTAAAGTCCCCTTAGGTGTGATTGTGTGCATGAATGGTTGTTTGTCTCTGTGTTGCCCTGCGATGGACTGGTGACCTGTCCAAGGTGTAGCCTGCCTCTCGCCTGTAGACAGCTGGAGATAGGCACCAGCACCCCTCTTGACCCAACTGGGGATAAGAGTGTTAGAAAATGGATAGAATGACTATGACCTGGATGACTAGGAATCTTCACCAGCACATCGTGTAGCATGTCCTACTTTAACATTTTAAATGCATTATGTTAACCAAAAACTGACAAGCGGCTATCGCCACTTCTTTAAATGAGCAAACTGTTCTCCCTGAGCACTCCCACTCACCAGGAACCTAAATGGTTCCCATACCACAGGGGGTGTATAGTCTGTCCCAAAGGTTCTGTGCGGGGCACCCTGGGGTCTCCAGAATGGAGGTTCAAAGGGAGCATGTTGACCAAATGCCCAGACCCATGCCAACTGACTCTTTATCTTGCATCAATGCAGCAGCGCTAGTTTGAGCTCCTGATGCTACATCCAAGGCTGATTCCAGATGCTGCTTTAGGATCTCCTTTGTTTTTAATCATGGTACATATTTCATAACGACAAGTGAGGATCCAGTCATAGACACATTGGTAATCTGAGCTTTGTTTTTAGGCAATGTAAAAAAAAAAAAAAAGTTGTCCCAATGTATTATTGAATTTTTTATTTTATTGGCATTTAGCTTATCTAATGAAAGCTTGAATTGCAGTCTGGTTAAAGTAATCTATGCGTTTCACTTTTTGAAATGACCTACTTGAATAAAATCACTTTTCAATAATACTGAAATATATATTTGTGTTATTTCTTATGAAAGTGGGTTTAAAATGTGGTGGAGGATAACTGCACCTGTTTGCATAAATAATCATCCCATGCTCAGCTGGTTTTGATGTATGGCTACACCAAATTATTTACTTGTCCAGATTAATTAAAATCAATATCAGCTGTTCTAGTGACAGTGGCTATCTCTGTACTTTTCTTTAAGCCAGACAAAGAATGAGCTTCAAATGGTTACATTTTCTGTTTTTTTCATGAATTATCAATCTGTGTATTTTTGTTTTTGCTTAAAACTCATTTGATTATGCGCATTACTCTAAAAATGTAAAGACTTTTATTGCATTTCTCTTCATTTTACCATCCCAGCATGACATGAGAGCAAAACCACACATGCACTCATGCACCTGTGGATATATCTTGGCCTTCTCTTTTATTAACTTCCTCACTGACGCCTGTGTTTAATGGTATTTAAGGTTTATGTATTTGAAGGCTGACAGCTGTAGAGGCATTAGCTATATTTACACTGCATACAAAATGTAATAAAAAAGGGTATACCAAAAACTAAACTTTCATAGAGTAATATCTTGAAATTCACTATCACCCACTTTCACTTCCCCTTTCAACACTAAATAAACACCGCCATACGCCGCTATTTGCCACAAAGGAAAATGTGGTAAATATGCAGAAACAGAGGGTTGCTTAGTTATTTCTACCTCAGATTTCAACATCAGGGTAAAACTATTTTGTTACAAATAAACTGGCATAAGACGCCCCCTTGTGGGCAACCTATGGTATGTTACTCTTTTTATTTTTGATGTCTGTTACATTTAGGTGTTGAAGCTGTGATTTATTCACAGAGTTAGGAGGAAGGTAGATTTTTAAAAATAGTTCATTTTAAGACTGCAAAAGCCATTTATGAATAGGTATCTGTTTGGGGTTTTTTTTAGAAAGTGTGTTACTTAACCAAACTCTGTAGAATCTGGTTAAATCTATTAGAAGGAGCAACATATGTTATTTGATTGATTACAAATAATCTTAATGAATTTGATCCAATTTGGACTTATGGCTCCCATAAAGTCCCCAGAAAATATATGAACAGCATGGATCAGATTTAAATTCAAATCTTTAAATTACTTATATGAGCTATGGAAAATGATAACTAACAAATTTTGACTCTGGACTTAGTGATGTATTCTTTTTTTTTATATGAAAAAACATGTATTGGCCTTGAAATATAGAAAAGTACATAAATATGTTCAGTTGTGTTCCACTGAATACAAAATACTTTCATATAAAAGACTGAAAACACCTTAAAAGTTGAGTAAAGTAAATTTACACTCATAGAAATATTTTATAATAGATTTATCCTTTAAAAATCACCCTACAGTCACAAATGCAGAGGTCTATTGTTACCTTGGAGGAGCTGCAGGGAGACACTGCTCAGGTGCTAAGATGACATTAAATGTTGTGCACTTCCCACATGTAGGAAGTTTACAGATAAGCAGGAAGACAACTTGCTTCCAGCTTGCCATAAGCTAAATGCTCAAAAATGTAGCTCCTGTTAGATCAGACCAAAAACCTCACTTTATCAGTAAATTCACATTCTGCCACCCTGATAGACACACATGTATGGCAGCATCATGGTGAGGGGAAGCTCAGGTTCTACACCAAGAGGTAGAATTCAGATTAAATTATGTGTTAAATGTCCCAGTTAAACTGAAATAATTGAAACTTGATGTACAATAATCCTCTCCTTCCAGCCTGACCTAATTTTGCACGTTTCAACCAAAGGAGAACGTGCAAATCTTCCAATCAAATATACAAAGTTGGCAGAAACTTTTACTGGATTCTATTTCCGGTGTAAGCAGATCCAGGGTGTTTATTTTGAAAATCCAGCACGGAAGTTCCGGTTGGGGAGGAACGTTGGTCGTTTGGTGCATGGCGCGTGTTTTGAAGCTGCTCTGCTTGTGGAGAAATGTCCTGGGCCGTGAGTAGTGAGGAAACAGGAAGCGATTCTTGTGGGATGGAAGAGGGAAATAGTGACAATGAAGGTTGGAAGATAGCAGCATCAAAAAATGAGAAAAAGCGGAAAAAACAGAGATCAGTTAAAGGGGAATCTAGTTCAGAACAATCCAGTGATGATCAATCCATACATTCCACAGCACAACAAAATGAATTCAAAGTCATATTCAAAGTCGTTAATCAGGCAGACTCTTTTACAAACTGGAATCCGGTTCACTTAACAAAAACCATCAATAAACTTGTTGGAGAAGTCAGAGGTGCCAGAATTCTGTACAGTGGAGACCTGCTAATTAACTGCAGAGACAGCGCCCAGCAAGGCAAAGCAATACGTATTAACAAAATTGACGGGATAAGAGTTCAGTGCAGCCTAATGGAGAACAAAAAGATCAGCAGGGGAGTCATTGGAGGAGTTCCTCTGAAAATTTCTGAAAAAGAGATTCTGGAAAACATAAGCGGTGCAAAAGTAAAAGAAGTAAAACGGTTAAAAACAACAAGAAACGGAGAAAGATCTGACAGTTTATCTGTACTAATTAAATTCGAGGAAGAGCAATTACCAAGCAAAGTATTCATCGGTTACATCAGTTACAATGTCAAAATCTACAATCCACCACCATTGAGATGTTTCAAATGTCAAAAATTCGGACACATTGCAGCAGTTTGTAAAGGGAAACAGAGGTGTGGAAGGTGTGCAGGAGAACATGAATATGGTAAATGTGGAAAAGAAGCTAAAATAAAATGCTGTAATTGTGGTGGAGAACATACTGCTGCTTATCGCGGCTGTGAAGCAAGCAAAAGGTCTGAAGAAATAAAAAAAATGAAATTTGAGCTTGGAATAACTTATGCTGAAGCTGCAAAAAGGATCCCATCTCAGTCAGAAAAACCCAAACCTACAGTTCAACACACGGCAAATTTCAAACCTCTAGAGAAATCTCCAAAAATTGATGAAGACTCACTAATTGTTAAAAAGACAAATTTTGTTCTTTTCATGGTGGAAGTGATTAATTGTACTGCTCAGACGACAAAAAAAACAGAAAAAATCAAAATAATAGTGAAGGCTGCAGAAAAATATCTGGATGTTAAAGATATGAACTGGGAGATGGTTGGAAGCATGATGGAAAGACCAATGGGACCATCAGAAACTGGCAGAGGTACGATGACCTAGAGTAAATTAAAATTATACGGGCAAATGTAATTTAGTATAATTTAGTATTATGTGGGTTTAAGTTACACAGGTTATTTTATTGTATTTTTTTTTTTTTTTTTTTTTGGGGGGGGTGAATCGTTTCCTGTTTCCTTGCTTTACTCCATATCAGTTGGTGGCGGTAATGCACATTTCACAAGTTTGCCAACCGCCATAAAATCTCATAAGAAGAAGAAGAAGAAGAAGTTCCGGTTCACAACCCTCCCCGTGCTAGCGCTCAGCTAGCAGGTGTTCTTAGGTTGATTTAAGTGGAGAAAAGACGAAATATTGAACAAGTTATAAGGAGCTTTGGGTCGGTTTTACCCACAGAGGACAGGAGTGAGGTGGACTGTCAAACCGTGGACCCGGGTGGACCTGTCAGCTCTCCTTAACGAGCCTGCTGCTGTTAAACTTGCTAGGAGAAAAAGTACAAAGTGAATGGCTGAAGGCTCCTCGGGTAACTACTATGTTTCAAAATACACCTTAAAGTTAGATTTAAGTCTCATAAATAAATAAAAAAAAACTTTATGAGCCAAGTTAATGTCTCCTTACAGTACAGTGCTAAGCTAACTGTTAGCCAGCCGTTAGCAGTAACTTTCTAATTAAAGCTTAGGAGTGTTTTCGTTTTAGCCTAGCATTGACAATTTGCTCACTTTATCAGACATGAGCTCGTGTGACTGGGAACTTTGAAACCGACCTTCCACCTGACCTGAATAATGTAACAGGAGCTGGAAACATGTGACCAACAGCTAGTTTCCTCTGCTTTTAAACTAGAGCTAAAGCAGAACTGTAGTCAGGTGGCTAGTTGCTGTAAGTTACTGGAGATTTACTATTGTTTTACTTGGATCGGATGGTGTCAATGGTCTGAAAAGTGATAAAAGCTTAGTGATTTCTGATTTAAGAAGGAAATCTATTAGGTTTAATGTGTTAAATGTTATTCAGGCCCCGTCTAGACAAATCCAGGCTAGGGATGGGTGAGGTTTGGCTAAATGATTAAACATCTTTCAAACAGTTTTGGCAGAATTTTGACTCTATAAGGATAATTTTTATAGTTTAAATTATATTTCAAATATTAAAATTTCGTTATCCTCTGAACGTAAATCTGATGACATTTCCTTATGTTTTTGGGCATCATGTTGTGATGTTGTGAATTAAAAGCTATATATTAATGGTGCGTTGAATGAAATCCCTGGAGTTGTAATGAGAGAAAAAAAAGTGAAGGAAGGATAAATCCTTTTGGGGGGTATTTGATTCTTGATCAGCCATCTTTTTTTTTTTTTTTTTACACTGTTGCCATTTCTGTTTGCAGACCCACCTGACCTCAATCCAGATGGTAAACTGCAGAACAAGCAGCATCACCGAGGCTCTAAGAGAGGCCGACCCAGACATAACAGTGACAGAAACCTGAGCGGCTACAGCTATGACCCAACTCAACCTTATGGAAACTTTAATCAAGGTTTCAAACAAGCATTTGGCCAAAATAACTTGAATTACTTTGAGTGTAATGCTCCTTCCTATCCAGAAGTAGATGGAGCCAGGGGAAGAGGCAGAGGACGAGGAAGGAGAGGGGAAAACAGGTTTTATAATGGAAATGTAGGAAGTTCTGGACACTGGCAGCAAAAACCTGGTAGGGACTTTGGTCCGTTTGGTTCTGGCAGCAGATATGCTAGTTCCATGGATGGACCTGATGCTCCAAGCTGGAGGAGGGAAAGTGGGAACAGGGATTCACAGCAAACCTTAAAAGATCACGAATCTCAAGTTAAAAAGACAGGAATTTCAGGTCGGGAGCAGGTGAAGGGAGATGAAATTGATATTCCATATCAAAGCTATCATGACCATTCAGAGACCACAAAAAGAGCTTCCCAGAGCAGGCCAGGCATCAGAACCCAAATTCACGATCAACCGAGGACAAGCAAAGAGGGGAAGCGGCGACAAGGACCGATCAAGCCCCCAAAACCACAGTCTGACAGCGAGGAGGGCTTAAAGAGAGCAGCTGATGGCCAGGATGGCTCTGACCTGAGAAGATTGTCTCAGGATCCTGCCTACAAAGCTGGAAAATCCTCAGGACCACAGAAATCTTTTCAAGGAAGAGGAGGGAGAAGGCCAGGCTACCAGAACACCAGCTCGGTTCAGAGGGGCTCCAACACAATGCCAAAAAGCAAAGAGACACAGACAGGTTGGATCAGCATCTTTAAATTATTACCAAAATAACTTTTACCAAATTTACTAAAACGTTTAAAATTCTTGTGTAAGATCCCAAATAGCTAGTTTGTATGGTTGGCAACATGACATTGAGGTCACAAGGACCCAGAGAGTTAAATAGACATTACTAAAAGTGTTGAAACCTACCACAGTTTCTCACAATATTACCTGAGGTTTTAGGTTCTTTATTCAAATTTTAAGTGACAAACCAGCATATAGATGTGATGTGGATGGGAAAAGATTTTTATATTAGTACCCATTAGCCTAATTTGGTGCCTTGTAGAACAACCTGATGCTTTGTTTACTGCTGCAGGGCTCCTCAGACTTGTCTTTACCTTTGTGAGACAGCTGCAAACTTCAGTCATTGTCCAAAATAGTTCAGTTAGATCACAGAGAGTCCCTAAACGTTAACAGGGCCATTCTAACCTAAATAGGATTCAATGTTAACAGCAGCTTTCTGTTGTTCTGCTCGAAGGCTAACACCCGCAAATGTTTGGCAGCCTTTAATAGATCTGCTTCCATTTCTTTTTCTATTATCTCTAGCATGATATCTCCAATGGGCTTCTCTCCCCCACAGCATGATGCTACCACTACTTTACTTTAGAGTATAGAGACACCAACTTGACACCAAACATCTTATTAAAATACAAAGACCTCTGATGGGGGTATGTCAGTGTTATCAGTTTAATTTAGGGGTATCGAAGTTATGGGGGTAGAAAAAACAAAAGCATCTATTTAAGGACAGATTAACCAGGGGACATTTTCCTTCACTTAATTTTGCTTCATTTTATGTTGCTTTGCCTCGTGAATTTTTGCAAGTTTTTGTCTTTTCTCATTGTTCTGTTTTGTCCAGAGTAGCCCCGGATTATGCATAGTTTGTCCTTTATTTAATACTGAGGAATATTTTAGGTAAGGTTGGAGAACCTGCATTAGCAAATTTCTTAAGTTTAGAGCCAGACCTTATAAAAAGCAATATACCACAGCGATTTGAAGTGTTGTGATGCACTGATCAGTTTGGTATCTGTTCATTACACACATTTAAACTATAGAATCTTATCTAATATGTATTAAAAGCTGCCTATGAACAAGGGTAGACAATAATTCAATATAAAAAAATGTCATGGTTTGTGCTGGGTGATGTGGTTTTAAAATATTTTTACAATTGAGATACTGATAAAATTGACAGTAAAACAATTAATTCTTAATAGTCTTTTTTTTTTTAGGCAACTGTATGGCTGCTACCACATACCACAGCAACTAATCAATTCAAAATTATTTATTAATCCCAAAAGGAAATAAACTTTTGCTGTAATTTATGGGCAGTTTTTCAACATGCATCAGAATCAAGCTAGCAGAGCTACGCCACCTAGAGCAGCTCAGTTCTAGAATATACAAATAGACTTTTTGAGCACACCAGTTACATAAAGAAGTGTGTTTCTATCACGAAACATCCCATATCAATAGCATTTAGTCTTCAACTATGCTAATGCCCTAATGGAAGAAATGAATGAAGAAAAACATAAAAATGCACAATTCACCTATTTTTTGAAGTTTTTTATTTAATCATCGCCAATTCTGACTTGCAGTTTAGACAATGAATCAAAATTGTTATGACTAGAAATGTATTATGATAAGCGATACGATAAATGCCAGCTTCTAGTAGTGATATGACTTTTTTGATATTTTCATAGAAATTACCATTAGAAATTTACACTGACTGACGATACTGTTTTTATGTGGTTTAATGTTTTATTCTAATGAAATATTTCTACAATGTCAAAATGGAGGAGTTTTGTAAACTCGGGATAAACTTGTGGCATTTATTTTGTTTACATCAGCATCAAAAGCATTTGATGTCGACTCAACTCCGCAGGCTGCCTGATTGAACAGCTGTCTGAGGAAAAGTACGAGTGCATGGTGTGCTGCGACGTGATCAGGGCCATGGCCCCGGTGTGGAGCTGCCAGAGTTGCTTCCACGTCTTCCATCTGAACTGCATCAAGAAGTGGGCGCGTTCCCCGGCCTCGCAGGCAGACGGTACGAGCCTTAAACAGGGCGCGGTGGCTATACACCCAAGAGAGTTCTAACACCATGTGACCTCTGGTTAAAAACCAGCTGTATGCAGCATGCTTTGTACCAAGGCAACTATTGTGACTGGTAATCGCTCCTGCTGATTCAGCATAACTCTGTGCTTTGTAGCAGGTGGGTCTGACTCAGAGCGGCTTTAGTGTTCAACTTCAATGGCTGTTTGTCTTTTTGCTTCAGATTCATCTGATGGTTGGCGTTGTCCTGCTTGCCAGAACGTAGCACTGAAGCACCCAACCTCCTACACCTGCTTCTGTGGTGAGAGCGCCCCTCTGAGGTCGAACATGGCCTACAGCCTTTTCTTCTCCACAGGGTTTTCACAAAAAATGTGTGAAGGGTTAAATTAAGGATTCTCCATCCATCTGTCTTTGACTTTTTTCATAGATCAATTGATATTTTCTGATAACCTATCTTACTGTTCCTAATCCATCCATCCTTCCACTGTGTTTTCCTTTCTGTTACCTTCCAATGGATTTGATTGGCAGGCAAAGTGACGAACCCCGAGTGGCAGCGCAGCGAGATTCCCCACAGCTGCGGTGACATGTGTGGGAAGAAGAGGAGCGGCGCAGACTGCAACCACCCCTGTAACATGTGAGCTGTGAAAGCGACACGACACTGTGGGGTTTCTCAGTTCTGCAGGACAGCCTGTCAGGAGTGGGAGAGGAATAATATTTAGGCGATTAGATAAGAAAAGGAACACAGTAGAGATTTGTTTGGCGTCTCCACAGCTATGTAGGAATCAGAGGTTAGAACTGAATGATGTGCTGAAGTTAGTCTTTTTGAAAGACCTCTTCAGTTCTGATGGCCAAAGAGTGGCAGCCAAAGTAGAAATTTTATATCGGCCGCTTTTTGGCTGATGTTACAAATAAACTGGCCACTGGCCTGCAGACTTATTAGCTTGAATATTTTGCTTTTAAAACTTATCACAACAGTTCACTTAACTTCATACAGTAATCTTCAAAATGCATCTATTTTTTAAGTCGCACTTTATCTCTGTTGGGTTCCGAGGGGTGCTAGTGCCTATCTCCAGCTTTTTACTGGTGAAAAGGCGGGGTACACCCTGGAAAGGTTGCCAGTCTATCGCAGGGCAACACGGAGACAAACGGGACAAACAAACATTCATGCACACACTCACACCTAAGGAGAATTTAGAGAAGCCAATTTACTTAAAAGTCATGTTTTTGGACTGTGGGAGGAAGCCAGAGTACCCAGAGAGAACCCAAGCATGATCAGGGAGAACATGCAACTCCATGCAGAAAGACCCCGGGGACGGGATTTGAACTTAGAGCCTGCTTGCTGCAAGGCAGCACTGCACCACTGAGCAGCACATCTGCAAAATGATTCATTATTATTCCCCTATCACTAATGTCCTAATATGTGAATTGGTTATATCAGAGTTTAGTTTGGGACATTGGAGTAAAAGGGGCTGAGAAGGTGTCCGCACCACACTTCTTAGAGTTCAAACGATGTTGAAACCTTCCAAATATGTTATTTACAACTTTGCGTTTGTCACAAAAAGTCCCAATAAAATACATTTATGTTTGCTGCATTATTTTCAACGTGGCTTGTTTTCCCTCAGCTTGTGTCATCCTGGACCTTGTCCTTCATGTCCTGCATTTGTCACCAAATCCTGTGTCTGTGGGAAGACAAGGTAAATACTCCATGTTTGTCTTTTTTTTTTTTTCTTGGTGTTTGATTGTTTGTCAGCACATTGTGTCTCTTGACAGATTTGGTTCTGATTTATTTGCCTTGTTTTAGTCAGCCGATGCGCTGCGGCCAGGCCACAGTCCTCCAGTGTGACAAAGTCTGCGGGGCTTTACTCAACTGTGGCGAACACTGTTGCACGCAGGTGTGCCACAGCGGGGCGTGTCAGCCCTGCCAGCTGCAGGTTGAGCAGGGTGAGTATCTCTGTTCCTACAGTGAGAGAGGAGATAGGATCTGTTGTTAAACTAAATCAGTTTTAAAATCAATTAGTTGTAAAGGAAAACTTAAAATGATAAAGATGGAAATTATTGATGATGTATTAAAAAATGCTGCAGCTCAACATTAACACCATATTCTATGGGTTTAGCCATTATGAAAACAGAAATATTTGAAGAAAAATGTGTTTGTCACGATTGTCTTTACTTCTTTTTTTAAAAACAGAGCTGTTTCTCCTCATTGTTCATGAATTGCTTTCTCTCGCACCACTGACAGGCTAGTTTACATTGTTGCACTGTTAGAGCCCTGCATGCTGAGCAGTGTCTTCACTCAGTTTGTAAATTAAAATTTAAAGCTTAATCATCAAACTGCTGTGTGCATGTTGATTTTGTGCAAGTTAGGACTGTGTAGGCTTTGGCATGGCAGCAATATCCTGATATTTTATTTGTTTGTTTTTTTTTAACCTAGGGACAGCGAGCGTGTACAACACTTGTAAAGTTTGAACCAAATTTTTATCTGAGTAAGGAAATGATCGGTTCAGTCAAAACAAAATGAAGCGATTCACATGTCCCATAATCACACAATGACAAACTTTTTCTCTCCTCTTATTTAAAGGCTATACGCAGCTTTTCTACTCTAAATTTTAAGCTGTGCAATCAGCTGTCTTTAAGCTTTCTATGCGGTCTACCTGCAAAAATCTTTTTAATCAGATGCTAAAGTTGGAGACATCTAATTCAAAACGGGGACGTTTGGTCACGTTATCATTTATAGCTAAAACTTACCATTTTAGAGCTTAGCAGCACAGCCAACGGCTGCAGGGCACGGGCTCTCTGTGGTGAATCATGTAGTCAACGTGCTGTAGCTGAGCCCAGAGTGTCACTAAGAGGTAAAAGCTGTAACTACAGACTGCAGCGTATATCCAAATAGTAGAAATGTGTTAAAATTACCACTATTGAATAAAATTATATTGATGTTGAATTATTTTGAGCCCTAGAGTGAGATAGTTAAACTGAAGTAAAAAGACAGAACGGATGTTGGATATTGTAGGTAATGCACTATCATAACACTTTCTTAGATCTTGGCTGTTACCATTTTTATGTTTTATGAAACGCTGTCAGTCTTTAAGGACTCATGTTAAACCGTTTTCTCTGCTGGTCATTTGTAGAATTGACTTAATTTTCTTTAAATATGTCTCCTCCTCCACCTCGCTCTGTAATGAGCCAGCATTAGGTAGAGGCTCCTCCATGTCATGACTGATGCATTAATTGTGTGACACAACAAATCAATACAATTATATTTGTAACATTGGAACAATGCAGCATATCAATATGTATCGCAATACTAATTTAATTCATTAATGGTCATATGACTTTTAATGTTTTTTTTTTAGCTCATATTTCTAAAATGTTATATTGGAGGAGTTTGATAAACATGGTAAATTTTCATATTTCTACAGGCATCTGTTCATTCTTGGTAGTCTTTCATTTTGTTTATATTAATTTCAAAATGATTTCAAGATGTATATCAGGATATAAGTTATCTATTCTAAACCTGAGCTGTATGCTTGTGTTTCCTGTCAGCTTTGTGTAAAATATTTGCGTTTGCTATAATGTTAAGATATTTGTTAGAAATCAAACTTCTATACACGTCACATAGAGTCGGTTTTTGTGTTCTTACCCATTTTCTATATTTACTTCTGTATTTGTTTTTTTTTAAAGTGACAAACTGAATACATTTTATGGAATTTAATATTTAGCATGGTGCTCTGAAGATGTAAGATGATGTTGGAAGACTTGAACTCATCTGGTTTTCTGTGTGTTTATAGTTTGTTACTGCGGCGTGACGACTCGTACTGTGCTGTGCGGCACAGATAAAGAAGGCTTTAATGGCTCAGGACATTTTTCCTGTCAAAAAGTTTGTTCTAAGTTAGTGTCTCTACTGTGGAAATGATACGTTTGCAGTGGAGACGGAGGACTCCTTCCATAACCCGACCCTGTTTCCTGTTCAGGATGTTGAATTGTGAAGCTCACCGCTGCCATCAGGTGTGCCACCGCGGGCCGTGCCAGCCGTGCCCACGCTCTCCGAGCCTGGTGAGGACCTGTCCCTGTGGCCAGACCCCACTGACCAAACTCCTGGAGCTGGGCTACTCTGAGCGCCGAAGCTGCTCTGATCCCATCCCGTCCTGCGGGAAGACATGCAACAAACCTCTGCCCTGTGGCTCCAACGGTACCTTAATAGCTTTAAAGTTTCATTTCAGCTTTAGAATTTAGGACTCAAAAATAGACTGTTAAAAATGAGAAGTAATGTGTCATGTTTAGTGTCACGTAGTGATGTTTTTTTGTTGAAAGAGCTGATGAAAGCATTTTAACATTACAGATGAAAGATGAAAGAATCCGTATGAAAGGAGAAAAGTCTAATTCCCACAGGTTAGCAGACTTTAAAGCTTTCCAGCTGACTATCCAGCTGAGTTTTACAGTAAACAGAAACGCGTGTCCTCTGCAAAAAAAACAAAAACAAATGCATTAGTTAGGATTTAAAATAACTGGCTTTTAATGTTGATTTACAGTTATTATCAAAGTATTATGAAAGATTAGGGGCTTCAGTTCCTGAGGTACAGTGAATGAAGCAGGACTTGAACCAACAAATGCAGGGTTTAGACAAGAGGCAGTTTGTAAAGAAATATGCTGTTCTCTTCCAAATCTGGTCAAATCAATAAATGGCACCTAATGGATTCCAAAATAACTCACAATAACTTCTGTTGAATCTTGATTTGATCAAAATGGTCTGACTGAGACAGAACTGCTGTCCACTTAAAAAAGAGAAAAAAAAAATATCCAGGTAAAGATGGCTGCATCAAAAACTGAATAATAATAATGTGATGAATGTAAACTGGAACAGCATATTACAAATATAAACTCCCAATTAAACATAGTTTACAGCCAATTAATAACTAAATTAAATCAATTAAAATGTTTCCTGAGAGCAGTTTCCCTTTTAACTATGAGAAAAAGAGGATTAAGATTCATATTTGAAGTAGGGCTGGGCGATATGAAGAAAATCTAATATCACAGTATATTTGGGCTATATCGCGATACACAATATGTTTAAATTACCTTCAAGAACAATAAGAGTGCATACAATTGCACTGATATACTCATTCAAACTTTTGGTTTCAAATTTAATTTAATTTTACTTTAACCAGCTCAGAGCTTTTCACTAATAATTCTGCCACATTACGTCTTTGGTTGTCAGTATAAAACCTTTAACAAGATCCTAGCAAAAAAAACAGGAAACAAAGAAAAAAAATCTAAATAAAATGTAAAATAAAATGGGCTCTTTTGTGCATAATAAAAAAATTAGGAAAGAATTTATTACAAAACAAAAGTGGAAATACCATCCAAAAATTACAGCATTATCAGAGCATCTCCAAACTATTTGCATTGATCTGCATGTGCTGAGAAGCATGTAAAGAAGCACAAAAAGTTATACATTTAAGAATATTGCCAGGTTTAGAGAACGCCTGCAAAACCTCTGAACAAGATCACGTCACAGGTATTAGGGGATCTAAAAACCATTTAAATAATGTAATAAATAGCCTCTGTGATTTAACTCCATCTCTTCCTTTCTCTCTCATATGGGATCGCTTTTTCAAACGACGAGGCCAACATCATCGGATTCACAGCTGATTTATTTAACTTTTTAAATCGGTGGGCGGGGAGAAGCTGACATGCAGGGTTTACAACATTCTTCATTTTGCAGTGGATGTCTTTTTAGGTGGTGGAATAAATATGTACTGCTACCTTTTGCACCAATGGCTTTTGTTGCACGTCTTCAAAATCAAAAAATCGGAAATCTTAAAATCTTAAATTGACCTACGTGTTTAATTCCTTGGGATAAAAACCCAGACATCTCTCGTCTTCCTGTTGGTCCATTGTGTCCGTTTTTCACCACAAACAGGATGTGCTTTATCTGAAGCCGTCTGGCATTGTTCTTAGTCTGTCTGAAGATAACATCTTGTTCTTTCAGACACCATTCATTTGTGTCAGAATTTATGCCATGAGGGGAGCTGTGGTCCCTGCTCTCTGACCTCCACAATCAGGTGCCGCTGTGGCTCCAAGACCAAGGTGGGCCTGAAAGTCAGTAGAACAAATGTTTACCATTGTTATGAAAGCAGTTTTTAAATATTGTCCTTTTTTTTTTCTTCTTTTTTTACAGGAGGTTCCATGTGAAGATATTAAAAAAGAAGGTGAAATTTTGATGTAGTTTTCCCTGATATTATAAATGTTTGCATAAATAAAAACATGTGCAGACTTGATAGCAGGGCAGCTGGCCAATAGATGGCGCAAGGGTGTCGCCCCACTCACCCAATGACCTTGATTAGGATATTAAAAATAAAATTAAAATTAAATTATAAAATTAACATATTTCTAAATGTATTGTTTTTATATATTTTTTTAGATGTGGAAGATGAATATTTCATCTTTATTGATGAGTAAAGCTGTTTTTCCGCCTTGTGCCCATTGACTCTCGTTGAAAGTTCTACAGGTGCTGGTCATAAAATTAGAATATCATGAAAAAGTAGATTGATTTCAGTAATTCCATTTAAAAAGTGAAACTTGTATATTATATTCATACATTACATACAAACTCATATATTTCAGATGTTTATTTTGTTTAATTTTGATGATTACAAATGACAACAAATGAAAATCTCAAATTCATCATATCAGAAAATTAGAATATTGTGAAAAGGTTCAAAATTGATGGCCTCTGGTGCCACACTCTAATCAGCTAATTAACTCAAACCACCTGCAAAAGCCTTTAAATGGTCTTTCAGTCTAGTTCTATAGGCTACACAATCATGGGGAAGACTGCTGACTTGACAGTTGTCCAAAAGACGACCATCGACACCTTGCACAAGGAGGGCAAGACACAAAAGGTCATCGCTAAAGAGGCTGGCTGTTCACAGAGCTCAGTGTCCAAGCACATTAATAGAGAGGCGAAGGGAAGGAAAAGATGTGGTCGAAAAAAGTGTACAAGCAAGAGAGATAACCGCACCCTGGAGAGGATTGTGAAACAAAACCCATTCAAAAATGTGGGGGAGATTCACAAAGAGTGGACTGCAGCTGGAGTGAGTGCTTCAAGAACCACCACACACAGACGTATGAAAGACATGGGTTTCTGCTGTCGCATTCCTTGTGTCAAGCCACTCTTGAACCACAGACAGCGTCAGAAGCGTCTTGCCTGGGCTAAAGAGAAACAGGACTGGACTGCTGGTGAGTGGTCCAAAGTCATGTTCTCTGATGAAAGTAAATTTTGCATTTCCTTTGGAAATCAAGGTCCCAGAGTCTGGAGGAAAAGAAGAGAGGCACTTCATCCACGTTGCTTGAAGTCCAGTGTAAAGTTTCCACAGTCAGTGATGGTTTGGGGTGCCATGTCATCTGCTGGTGTTGGTCCATTGTGTTTTCTGAGGTCCAGGGTCAACGCAGCCACATACCAGGAAGTTTTAGAGCACTTCATGCTTCCTGCAGCTGACCAACTTTTTGGAGATGCAGATTTCATTTTCCAACAGGACTTGGCACCTGCACACAGTGCCAAAGCTACCAGTACCTGGTTGAAGGACCATGGTATCCCTGTTCTTAATTGGCCAGCAAACTCTCCTGACCTTAACCCCATAGAAAATCTATGGGGTATTGTGAAGAAGAAGATGCAATACACCAGACCCAACAATTCAGAAGAGCTAAAAGCCACTATTAGAGCAACCTGGGCTATCATAACACCTGAGCAGTGCCACAGACTGATCGACTCCATGCCACGCCGCATTGCTGCAGTAATACAGGCCAAAGGAGGCCCAACTAAATACTGAGTGCTGTACATGCTCATACTTTTCATGTTCATACTTTTCAGTTGGCCAACATTTCTATAAATCCTTTGTTTTTATTGGTCTTCAGTAATATTCTAATTTTCTGATATGATGAATTTGAGATTTTCATTTGTTGTCATTTGTAATCATCAAAATTAAACAAACTAAACATCTGAAATATATGAGTTTGTATGTAATGTATGAATATAATATACAAGTTTCACTTTTTAAATGGAATTACTGAAATCAATCTACTTTTTCATGATATTCTAATTTTATGACCAGCACCTGTACATCAACAGTAGCTCCTCTCTAATTCAAAAGGATATGAGATCAAGGGGCCTAGTTCTCCTGCCCCCAGAGCCGATAGCCTCTTTATTTCCACACCACCTCCTGCCACAGAGCTGATGTCACAGTCGTCTCTTATAAAGTGTGGCTGATCGACAGGTTTATATAATATTTAGCAACAAGGCTTGGCTAACTGCATGCGGCAAGGCTAACACTTTATTCTGCTTTCCCTGCCTCCTTCCTCAATTATCAGTACGGAGGCTGTGGTCCTTTGCCGCATGACTCTCCCCCTCTCATATCCCCTTTCCTGTCAGCCTACTGTCGAAAAAATTAGCCACTAGTGCCGTAAAAACTAGTGTTGTTGTTATTCATGTAAATATACTGGTGTTATACCTTTATATACATTCGATTGTTTTTTGGTAAACTTCTTTTTTTAAGTTTACCAGCCTCCCCGGAGAAAACTCCACCATCCGTCACTGCTTGGTAATATATGCAAAACTGATCTTCTTACCAGGTGTGCACAATTTTAGATTAGTTAAAATAATCAGAACAGCAGTTGCAAGAAATTAGCATGTTTGCCTTTCTGAATATGCAGAAACATATGCTGATTAAGAGAACATGCAAAATCCTGGGAGGTGATTATCCAGATATAATGATTTAACATGCTCAATTCAATTTATCAAACCTGAAACGGCTTACGGACCTTACTGTGTTTATCCCATTTAATGTCATTGTGGTGAAGAGGAAGAAAGTGCATAATGACAGGAAAAAAATTTAATTTATGCATCAGCAGATTTGGACTTTCAGAAATGTGTATATTAGAGACATATTTTCCATTGAGCAATGCTGAATTGGAGCCAGTCTCAAATAGAAGCCATACCGCATCTCTTATGGAAGAAAAACAACCCTTTGAAAAAGCTATATTGTGTCTGGATGGATTGTTCTACAGCACCATCTCTGTTAGTGGATTCATTTTAGAGCTGCAATGCGCCTGTTGCAACCAAAGTAAAAATGTAATGGATTGTAGCACTGAAAAGCTGTTCTTTTGACATAGGAAGTTCTCTGTTTTCTTTACTGCTGAAATAGATGACAAAAAAAATAGCTTGTCTCTACATGTCGCTATCATCCTGCTGCTGGTTATGCAGCTGTGATAATTGAAAGTCCGATCTCAAGCTACTGCATTCATCTCTCTTACATTTCAAGTTGTGTCTTAGAAAGGATGATCACTAGTCAGAGAAAAAAAAGTTTGTCGTTTTTGTCGATATGCAGATAGTGAATGTTTTTGGATGGGGAGAACTTCTGCTAGAAAACTAAACAACTAAAAAGGAAAGAAACAGTTATTCTCATTTGTTAAAGCTGTTTGGAAAAGATGATGTGACGACTGTTTCTTCCTGTTAAACTCTTCTCCACTTTGAAATCATACATCCCGTACAAATTCTGTCTGCCTTTAAATCCACTCTACCAAAGTATCTATTCCTAGATCAACCACTAACTGCATCGATATTTTTGTTAGTTTTTTAAAGCAATTTAGCACTTTTAAATTTTCAGTCTTAGCGGATCAGGCCCTAAAAGTGAAATATGACACCACTAAGTTTTTGACTTTTCTTAAATGTCCCCTGTGGTCATCTCCATGCAGACGAGCTCATCTTTACGTGTAAAAGACGATGCAACAAGAAGCGTTCCTGTGGTCGACACAAGTGTGGAGAGCTCTGTTGTGTGGTGAGTGAGTCCAGGGTTAACCTGTCTGCACCCCTATTTCATTCCATGATTTATTTAGATTCTGTTTGATGCTGATGTATTGTGCATCCCTAAAGGGAACCACTACTGGATTATTAGATGATAGTTTTTGGAGTCGGAAAACCAAGTTTTGACACTCCCTCTCCCTCTCTCTCCTTTTTTTTCCATCTCTGCATTAGTCTCCGTTTGGCCATTATTCCATATGTCTTTGTCCATCTCTGCAAGATCATACTCTGAATATTAACCAATATATAATATAGGTTAATATAATAAGATAATTGGAATGGTGACTTGAGCTCTATCTAGAAAAGTTTAGAAAGGTTTATTTGGTATAAAGTCTTTGTAAAAACTGTAAAAGTTGAATGTTTGGTTTTGTAACAGTAACACTGGAGCTTTTTTTCCCCTCCATGTGTGTTTATCCAGAATGTGGAGCACAGGTGCCCCATGATCTGCGGCTACAAGCTGAGCTGCGGCCTCCACCGCTGCCAGGAGCCGTGCCACAAAGGGAACTGTGAGCCCTGTTGGCAGTCCAGTGCGTCCTGCTTTCCTGACTTAATTATTTTTTTTTTTTTTTGTGGTGTTCCGTTTGGCTCCAGGTATCTTACCACTCCTTCCGTTGGCAGGTTTTGATGAGCTGACGTGTCACTGTGGCGCCACCGTGTTGTACCCCCCGATTGCCTGTGGCACAAAGCCACCAGAATGCAAGAACCTTTGCACAAGAAGACATGAGTGTGACCATCCCGGTAAGAGGGACCGATTCCCGTTTCCTCTACAGTTTTAAACAAGAATTCTGAATGTCTCCTCCTTTAATTTAGTGTTTCACAACTGCCACAGCGAGGAAAAATGTCCACCTTGCACATACCTTACTCAGAAATGGTGCATGGGAAAGCACGAGGTAAACACCACAAAGCTTTACGACTCATTTATGTTTAGTTTTTAATCCTTGCTATAAACTTGTTTCTCTGATCCACAGCAACGCAGCAACATCCCGTGTCACCTGCAAGACATTTCCTGTGGGCTGACATGTAATAAGATGCTGCCTTGTGAAATGCACCGCTGCAAACGGCTCTGCCACCGTGGAGGATGCTTGCCGGAGGGTGGTTGCCAGCAGCCGTGCACGCTGCCCCGCCCCGACTGCGGCCACCCCTGCGCTGCTCCCTGTCACAGAGGCAGCAGCTGCCCACGCACCACCTGCACTGCCAAGGTACACAAACAGGCCCACCATGTTTGGATTTACATGAAATGCATGCTTAAAGGGAAGGCAACCTCATGCTGTGTCAAAATGTTTGCACGCTAACAGGTAGCACTCCAATGTGATTGTGGGCGAAGAAAGGAAGTTGTTGCCTGCACAGAAGCTGCCAATTCTTACCAGAGGTCAGTCCTCCTCTTTGTATAACCACTTTGCTTTCATTTTCCATTTGAGATGTTCTTCTGTAATGTTTCTTCCACAGGTTTGCAGCCATCGCGATGGCCAGTAAACTCTCTGACATGCAGCTGGGTGACACTATGGACATCGGGCCTCTCCTCACCAAGAGAGAGCTGAAACAGACGAGGTGGGGCCAAAAGAAGTGTTTTTTATTTTTTTATATATATATATATATATATATATATATATATAAAAAGTTCTTGATTTTTCTTTTTTTATTTGTTTACAGTGGATCATAGTATTTATAGCCTTGCGTTCATATTGCAACCAAAACTACTAAAAACCTTTATTAGACTTTGTGATAAAACAAAATAAGGAAAAGCAACATTGTGAAGGAGAGGACATTTTTTGACAGTATGGTCTGCATTTGTTTTTTAGCACCATCACCCTCTGGTCCATTGATTCATAAAATGTGGGATCATCAATTATAGCATCTTGAGATTCTACAGAAATAAACGATACAAATTATAATGATGAAGCATATTTACGCATTCGAAGATATTAAAATATCAGTTAGAAAAAGAGAAAACAAAGCTTTGTTTGTCCTCGTTTTATTTCTACTATACCTATGATAAATAGTACATTTTGCTTTTTTTTATAAATTTGAATTTAAACCAACACTTTGGGTCATGAGACTAGTTTGGTAATGTCTTGTGAGTCAATTGCTGAAATGTTTGAGATCCACAGCTAGACCTGGCCGTTAAACCCGCAACAACTTTCCCATGTCGGTAAAAGAAATAAACTTTTTCCATTTTTACTGTATGCATTGGTGGCTGGTATCTCTTTCCCTTTTAAGACACGGCAACAGGTGTGTAATCACGTGACTCCACCCATCCAGTCAATCGTAAACAAAGAGAATGGCGGATGAGCCCAGTGAAGAAGTGTCTAACACAGCTTTAAACAAATTCACATCAGTTTATCCTGTGAAGTCAAGCGAGGGAAGAAATTAAGCTGAACACACAGAGAGGATATCAAGAGCGCGTTGATCAAGAACTGTTTTGAGTGATGGTGCGATTTTTAAATGCTGTACATTGTTCTCACTGTACGCTCAGTTCAGTTTGCACCATTGATGTTGAACAAAAAAAATCGAAATGCAAAGTTTCTGAAAACTGTCTGGACTGCCTAAAGTAACACATCCAACCTTTTCCTCCACCACAGCCTCACTGTTGAGTTCAAAGATGTGCAAAAGGTCTCTTTTCGTAAAAATATTAACACTTTTCTCCTGTTCAATTAGACAATGTTGAATGTTTAAACCCTACTGGGTACAAGACTTAAATATTTAATTGAAAGTAATATGTATGTGATTGAATCAACAAATAAAGTATAAATAGATCAGTTGCATTTCCTGCACACGTCTTTATTTCTGATAGAGAAGCCGGAGCATTTATCTTGCATTTATCGCTATCGAGGTAAAACTGCCCAATTTATCGTGATATTTGAGGTCAAATCGCCCAGCCCTACTACAGCTCTAGTCAAAAATTTGCAGGTTTAGCTAAAAATCTTCCAGATGTCTCGATCTAGCATCCATTTTTTCCACCAGTTCTTCTTTTAGAAGATCTTTTTCGGTAGGATTTGATCGGGTGAATCTTTTATTACTAATTTATGTGTTTTTAAAAAGAACTTTAATCAGAAGTCTGGAGTCTGATGTCCATCCTGACTAAATATGCCTTTATCTCCATCTTTTCATTCTACTCTGGCTGTATGTTTGGGTTGTTCTGCTGGAACAGCACTGAGGTTTAAGTCTCTTTAACCTTCAACTGTTCTGGTTTTTCCATCTTCATCTATGCCAGGCTTGAGTGCGATCAAGAATGCGCCACTTTGGAGAGAAACCGACGTCTGGCCGAGGCGTTGCAGATAGACTCCTCCTCAGACCCCTTCAACGTTCGCTCCTCTGTTTACAGCGACAGCCTCAAAGAGGACGCCAGGTTTGACCTTTGCTTTCTCGCCAACAGCACCAAAATGAAGGTGGGTCACCAAGCTAAAATTCAGTTTCACTTTGCTTTCAGGAAAGACTTGAAGTTTCTCTCTGAAGTAGAGGAGGAGATTAGGAATCTTGTGGAGCTCGTGAATAAGGTAGCATAATAATATCATTCCAAGCAGCATCTTGATAATTTGCTTTTGAATTTATACTAATTTTTTTCATTAATGTTAATCTGTTCCCTTCTTCTTTGATTACTTCCTTACCTGTGTTCACATGTCCTTCATTTAGTCCTGTAGTCCTAGTGTTTTCTTTGCTTCCATCCTTTCCTCCGTTCTGTCCTCATCCTTGTGCTTTTTCATCCTCTTTGTGCTTCTTTCCTTCTTCCTATTCATCATATCCTTCCTCTTCTACTTTTATCCTCACTTCAACCTTCCATCCTTATTTCCTTTATTGTGCCTTTTCTTGTTACTTCCCTTGTGTCCTATCTCCTAACCTCTTTCCTTTGTGTTCTTCTCTCTTCCATCTCTTCTTTCCTACCACCTATCCCCTTTTTCCTTCCCCGTTCTCATTCATGCTTTTTTCCTTGTTTAATTTCCCTTGTTCTTTATTGTGTTCTTTGTGTCTTTTTACCTTGTTTTTTCTTGTATCACTTTCCCTTCCTGTCCTTCTGTAAATTATTTTGTTTCTGCAGAAAAAATATTTAAATCCTGTTGACATTAGTAGCATAAATTTGCTCTGTTTTTCCTATTCTATGCTATTTGCCATTCATTTATAGAGAACTTTAGTATTTGTATTTTAAGGCAAATGCAAAGGATTTGGGGTCTTTTTTTTTTTTTACCTGGGAAAAGCGTTGGAGCCTTGAATAAAATCCAGATCCGGATCAGAGAGGGTGAAATCTGTTATCTTTGCCTGAACGATACATCCTGCCTTATTAGTTGCTACAGCTGTATGAATCCCTACAAAAATCCCAGCAACTGACAATGAAAAAGCCCCCAGATCAGAGAAGAAATTATTGGATATAAAATGCTTCTCTATTCATTTATACCATCTTTACCGACTGGTATAGGGAAAACAGACGAAGAGGAGCCACTGCTTTCCTCCGATGAACAGGGAGCACCGTAAGATCATCCACGAGCTGGCTGAGGTCTACGGCGTGGAAAGCGTGAGCTACGACAGCGAGCCCAAACGGAACGTGGTCATCACTGCCCACAGGTATGTCTGTTTGCAGATATGGCAGCACACCCACAGTGCTGATTACAATTCTGAGGATGTGTCTTTGTTTTTGCCAGAGGGAAGTCGGTCTGTCCCAACTCAACCCTGACAGCAGTGATAGAGAGGGAGACGGCCGTGAGGGCGCCTCCTCCCATCGCTCATATCAAACAGAACAGCAGCAAGTGAGTCATCTTCTAGAAAGACTACAGATTTACAGGGTTTCAAAATGGAGAGCCCGTTCATTCAATGTTAAATAAATAAATACAGTTAATTTTTACCCTTCAAACTCTTAAAGAATTTAAGCACATCTTCAAGTTTGTCTCAAATAAAATCCTATTAAACAGCATTACGTTTTAGTGGCATTTGCAGAGTTATGAGAGCAGATGTGAGGTGTTGTTTCTTATTGTAATTATTAGGTGTTGATATCTTTTGTGTTTTATTCCTCTCCTAGGGCTGGAGGAGGAAGCGCCTGGTCAAAGACGGTAAAGGAGGAGCCTGTGATTGATTATTTTGACGTTAAGGACTGAAGAAGAGTGAAGACAAAAACCTTTGGGATCTGCCTGTTGACTTCACTTTCCATCTTTGTTCACCAAACATCCCGAATCATCTGGCTTTCCAATCAAATAAAGCTATATTTGGAATCATTGCAAATCAGTCAGCTCAGATTTATACATGCTCACTAGGAGTCACTTTGGAAATCTATCGTTTGGTTACGAGTAAATTCACATTCAGGGGTGGTACGTCTGTGTTTAAGATGAAATGATTTTCTTTAAACCGGCAGGTCTTCTCTTCAGTTTAAGGTTCCTTAAACACACAGCAGGCATTGTTTTTAGCAGTTAAACATCTTGTGTTCTTTTTGTTGGTGCTGAGCCAAGGCTGCTGCTGTAAAAACCTGTGTTGATGGAGGGAGTGGGCTGCATTGCGGAAAGAAAGCTTTCTGGGAACGCAGCTCTGACCTAGATGTAGGGCTGCTCTTTCTGAAAACTTCCTCTGTGAAAGCTGGAAGCATCCTGAGCTCGGCCTGCCACGGGCTAATCTAGAAACTGGCATCATTTCAACTTTTTCCGAGGGCTGAGATGGTAAATTTATAAAATGAAAGGTTTTCACAATCACTTCATTGCACCTGCTCAAAACATGCAAATAAATCAACAAGAAATGCTTTCCCTTAATTTGTGCCGAATGTCTTAATGTTACTTTGTCATCAATGGAGACAGATATTTTGTTCATGATTAAAGATTTTTCTTTCAAATCTAAATATAGCATTTTTCATGACTTTATACAAAAAAACAAAAACAACAAAACAAAAGCACATACAGTTGTGTTCGAAATAATAGCAGTGCCTCAACAGCAGCAAGAAAATCACTTGTTTTATTAACATTTCAAACTCTATACCCCAGATAAGTTTCTGGGGGGTAAAATAAAGGTATAGAAAACCAACAAACCCAACAGGACAGCCATGCATACTGTGGATTCTGTGAAATTGAATGATTAACTGAAAAGGGTGTGTTCAAAAAAATAGCAGTGGTGAGTTCAATTAGAGAGGGCATCAATTAGGGAGGGTATTCTGGGAAAAAAGGGTGTTAACAGGTGATCCGTATTTAAGGATCAAGACAACTGGCATGCTGGCTGTGCATTTGTCCTGAAAAAACAAGGAAAATGGGTCGTTCAAGACACTGTTCTGAAGATGAGCGTTTCCTAATAAAAAAATTGATTAAAGAAGGGAAAACATACAAAGAGGTCAGAAAATCATTGGCTGTTCAGCTAAAATGATCTCAAATGCCCTGAAATGGGAGCAAAAAACTGAAAAACGAGGAAGAAAAAGACAACCACTCGAATGGACAGAAGAATAGCCAAACTGGCGAAGACTCAGCCAATGATGGGATCCAAGAGGATCAAGCAAGACCTTCAGTTGACAGTGAGTACTGTGACAATCAGAAGACGTCTTACTGAGGTTAACCTTCCAGCAAGAAGCCCCCGCAAAGTCCCACTGCTGAGAACAAGACATGTGCAGAAGCGTTTACAATTTGCCAAAGAGCACATTGACTGGCCTGAAAAGAAATGGCATAATATCTTGTGGACAGATGAAAGCAAGATTGTTCTTTTTGGGTCTAAGGGTCACAGGCAGTATGTCAGATGCCCTGCAAACACAGAATTCAAGCCACAGTACTCACTGAAGACCATTAAGCATGGTGGTGCAAGCATCATGATATGGGGATGTTTTTCATACTATGGTGTTGGTCCGATTCACCGCATACAAGGGATCATGGATCAGTTCCAGTACATCAGGATCCTGGAAGAGGTCATGCTGCCATATGCTGAGGAGGAAATGCCTTTGAGGTGGACCTTTCAACAGGATAATGACCCCAAACACACCAGCAAGCGAGCAAAAGCATGGTTCCAGATGAACAAGATTCAACTGATGGAGTGGCCAGCACAATCCCCGGACCTTAATCCCATTGAAAACTTGTGGGCTGACATAAAAAGTGCAGTGCATGAGGCAAAACCAAGAAACGCTGAGGAATTGTGGAATACAGTGCAATTATCCTGGGCTGCAATACCTGTGGAACGATGCCAGAAGTTGGTTGACTCCATGCACCACAGATGTGAAGCAGTCATCAGAAACAATGGTTTTGCAACAAAATATTAGTTTAGGATACTCAGCTAGGTTCACTTATCAAGAATTTCTTTGTTTGTACAGTACATTTTTGAGTTTCCAAGGAAAGATGGCAACACTGCTATTCTTTTGAACATGCCATTTCTTACTTTGTTTGAAATATTATTATTATTATTTAAGTTTTGATGACTTTGCGCAATTGTTTTGCTTTGGAATAGAATGTACTGTGTCCCCAATGTATCTGTGTTCATTAAAGTACAATTTCTTTGAAGAATTTTGACATTTACTCATTTTTCTAAAGGCACTGCTATTATTTCGAACACAACTGTAAGTTAAATAAAATATATGTAGACATTTATATCACTCCACTCAAGGGAGGTTGTATCCCTGTTGCTTCCTGATTGTGTCACACTTTGTCCTGCTTAATTCTATTATTGCTCCAACATGGCGCTCTAAACAGGCAGCTTCTAAAGCTATAATCTCGTAGGATTCTTGTAAAGGGAGTTAATAATTTGCTAGACTACTGTCATATCAGCACTACATTATATAACATTTTGTATTTATGTATTTTTTCTTTTCAACCTACAACCATTTGGATTGATTTTTTGCATAGGTGTATTTGTACAGTGCATCTGGAAAGTGTCTACAGTGCTCCACTTTTTCACTCGTGTTACTGCTTTATCCCAAAAGGTATTTAGTTCTTCTGTCCTTAAAGTTCTAAACACAATATCCTACTGTGGCAGTGAATTTGTTTTTGATGACTACAAATAGAAAGCAAAGTACTTACTCAGTCTACCATAGCAGAGACTGTTCTTAGGGTACACACCACAGAAAGTACCATAAAACCACCTTTGGCCTCTATTTTTCTGGAATATGATGCCACAAGCTCAGCATACCAATCGTTCTTTGCACAACATCTGAAGCTTCGTCCTCAGGTTGGAGGCAGAGCTCTGCACAGTCAGATGCTCAAGGGGTTTAAGTCTGGATTCTGTCTTGGTCCATCCAGGATATTCAGAGTGTTTCTGATCCCCTGCTTTGAGACCTCAGCTGTGTGTTTTGTGTCGTCCCAGTCGGAGGTCAAAAATGTTCTGCAACAGGTTTTCATCAGGATATCTGCATGTTGCTGCATTCATCATTTCCCATATCCCGACCAATCTACCAGTCCCTGCTGCTGAAATGAATCCCCATAACATGATGCTGCCATCACCATGCTTCACTGTAGGGATGGTAGTGGCTTGCTCGTGAGTTGTGCCTGGTTTTTTCTAAACATTACCCCAATCACACAGAAGATATTGATGTTTGTTTCATCAGTCCAGAGTTCAGTTCTTACGGTCTGTGAGACAGACTGGCTGCCGTCCAGTGACTGAGCCAGGAGATTTTCATAGGGAGGGTAAAAAAAAAAAAAAAACTACCTACAGGAAAATGAGCACATCTACACTCTCTAAACTAATCTTTAAAGACAGACCACGTTGCTAATAGATCGACTCATATTTACACATTATGCTGTATAGAAGACATGCAGAGATGTACTGTATAACTTCCCCCTTCTTCCCCATCATGCTAAAAAATTTGGATGAAGCAGTGAATCTGGATTTGAAGTCATCGCTCCACCCCTGCTGCCATGCGCCTCTTGTCTGCCAACGTTCTACTAGGAGCTTCTAAACAGCAGGAGTTTCTGCAGCCACAGGACATCTACAGACATTTGTTTTACATCATGCTTGGTGTTTGATCTCTGATGTAGTCAAATGTGAGACCTTATATAGATAGAGGTGTGCCTTTCCTAATCATTTCAAATTAACTAAATTGTCCACAGGTGGACTCCCTTAAGGCTGTAAAACATTCCCGTCATAAGCAGTGGAAATGATATGCACCTCGGCTAATCTTGAAGTATAAATGGGATTTCTTATTTTTCTGTTTTTAAATAGATTTGCAATTATTTTTCATAAAGGGGGATGTGAATAATTTTGAGGAAAGAGGTCAAATTTAATGTCATTAGGATAGTTGTAAAAAATAAATGTAGTAAAAGTGCAGTGTTCTATGTACATGTGTGTAGAAATATGTTTGCAACCTCGACAGCCTGGTTTTATTAACTGTAAACCATAAACATTAACAGAAATGCATATTTAAAATGAAGAGCTCTCTGCAGCGTAAACTCCGTCCCCCTCAGCTCCTCAGGTGGTGAGGAGACAGAAGGTCAAACATAACAGCCCCACTGGACAGTGTCTCCCATCCATGGATGAAGCTGATGCAGAACTGGAGCGCTCCTTCACCAACAGACTGCTGAACCTCTGGCTGCTGTTACTCAAACTCAATAAATGTTTATGTCACTGCTGTTTTATTTTACTGTTTTAATCTATTCCTGTTAGTTCCTGACAACACCAAAGTAAAGCCACCCGCAATCGCAGGTAGTTAAATTATTATCCATTTCCATTTTCTGAGAAGTGGTTAGGAGTCTGTATAAAAAGGACCTTCTGTTTCTAGTGTACTTCTCTTTAATTATCAGGTCTAAAGGAAACTGACTTGGTACAAATTTAAAATCAATTTCCAAAGCTTAACTGTTTTACTTCCTTACAAAAATGAAGTATATTTAGAAAGTCCCAGAAAATACGAGAACAACCAACTAGCAGTTCACATTCTCTACAAAAAAGCAAAAAATGTAAAAAAAAACCTTTACAAGTATCCTAAAAAAAAATTATTAATTCTCCAAACTGTTTCCACAGAATTTATTTCCCTCATGGCATCCAACACATAGGGTATCCCATTCATCATCCTGAGTTCATCCTATATTTAACTCCAACTCCCATTTATCCTTAACATCTAGAGCAGGGGTCAGCAACTTTTTTATGGCTGAGGGCTACTTTATGGGTACTGAGTCATAGGACGGGCTACCAATACTGACCTATGAACTAGAGGAGTCGGCATTCACCTGAACTTCATGGATAATAAACATATTTCTATTGTTTCTTTTCATTTTTAATTTGCTTTTAGATATTCTCATTATGAAATCCATATTAATCCTCAAATGTTCTAATTTATTGATATGATAAAATGCTTCAAAATAAGAGCTTCAATAAAAAATAATATTTCAGATTTAGTCCACTGGTGAATTGTTCTGTTTTCAAAAGATGCTGAGGGCACCTCATGTTGTCCGTGGGGGCCCCTTGTTGCCCACGGGCACCATGTTGGTGACCCCTGATCTAGAGAATCATTTGGTATTGGGAATCTGAGGTTTAATGATCTTTAAAAAAAGTAACTCGCTACATTTGTTGGACCTTTTTTAATGTATTCCAATTTTTAGGATAATATAATGTCTTACACTGCAAAAAATGTAAATCTACATAAGCTGTTTTTTCTTAAAATAAGTGCTTTTATTTCTTGAATTGAGGAGGTAAGTAAAACACTTTGCCGATGGAAAAATACAATTTGCATTTAAAAAAAAAAACAAAACAAAAAAACAATTGCATCCTCTTATTTCAAGTACATATTATCTAATTATCTTATTTTAAGAGTAAAATACTAATT